GAGTCTTCGACGGTCCAGGTCAACGCCATCACGATGAAACGGGCTGTCGCTGCTGGAGCTGACGTGTACGCAGTGGATATAGCGTTATTGGAAAAAGTGGAGCAGCCGAGTGATTTGCAGAAACTGTTGGCAGCCGTACCACCCGAACTACAGGCACTACTGAAACGGTTCCCAAGTATCTTTCCGGATGACTTACCGCAAGGGCTGCCACCTCAGCGGGCGCATGACCATAGGATCGAGTTAGAACCAGGGACAAAGCCAACTGTACAGCGCCAATTTCGACTGACAAAGCCCGAGCTCGACGAGCTAAGGAAGCAGTTAGATTACCTGTTAGAGAAGCAGTTTATCCGACCGAGTTCGTCACCGTTCGCCGCACCGATACTGTTCACACCGAAAAAAGACGGGGGGTTTCGCATGTGCATCGACTACCGAGCGCTTAACAGGGTAACAGTCAAATCACGGTACCCCATCCCTCGCGCCGACGAACTGATCGACCAGCTGCGAACAGCACGGGTATTTTCGAAAATAGACTTACGCGGAGGTTACCATCAGATTCGGGTCGAACCATCAGACTGCGCCAAAACAGCATTTAGGACTAGGTACGGGTCATTCGAGTACACAGTGATGCCTTTCGGGCTGACCAACGCGCCTGCAACATTTCAGATGACCATGAACGAGGCGTTCAGGCCACTTTTAGATAAATGTGTGATAGTTTACCTCGACGATATCCTCGTTTACACTTGGGACAAGCAGCAGCACTTAGTAGATCTCGAAGCAGTTTTTAAAATTTTAGAGGAACATCGGTTACTCACCAAGGGCTCCAAGTGCGAGTTTTTTCGGGACAGGCTAGAGTTTTTAGGACACGTTATTTCGAAGGCTGGGGTAGAAATCGACCCTAAGAAGCTGGATACCGTAAAAGCGTGGCATCCACCGACGAACATCACGGAACTGCAGAGTTTTTTAGGGTTTGTTAATTACGTTCGACGGTTCGTCCCCGCCATGGCACGCTTAACTGCCCCGCTCACCGATTTACTGCGCAAGGGGGTCGTGTTTACGTGGGGGGAGAAAGAGCATGCTGCCTTCTCTACCCTGAAAGATGTTCTCTGTTCACTGTCAGAATTATATTTATTATAACTGCATGAAGTTCTAGCTGTAGTGTAGTTATTAAGTTTGTAGGTGGTGCACCTCTTCACTTGTTTCCTTGCTATATGTACTTTGAAACTATAGTGAAGAACGCATTCTTCCCAATTTCTCTGTTCCAACTCACTCGATACCTCGCCTAGGAGAAACCCGCTCGATACTCTAGTTGGGCCTAGGCTACTAAGCCTAGGCCCTAGCTTAATCTACTCGTTCGTTCACCTTAAACTCTCGACATGGTATTAGAGCGACGTTCGTTCTGGCCTCACGTTTCCGCTGCTACGATTTTCCTGTCGCGCGCCTAGGGCGCGTGACGATTTTTACCTTGTCCCGCCCACGGGCGTGTGACTCCTTCTCTGCCCGTCGCGCGCCCCATGGCACGCGACGGTGCCCTTCATCTGCCCGTCGTGCGCCCCGTGGCACGCGATGGTGCCCTGCTCGTCGTGTGCCCCGTGGCACTCGATCGGGCCCTTTAAACTTAAACTTACCCGTCGTGCGCCCCGTGGCCCGCGACGGGCCTTTCCGCACCTGCCCTCCCTGCAGCCGCCCCTGACCTATCAGCGCCGACACAGTGTAGCCGCTCTGCGGCTTTCTTCCCGCCCACCCCCTCCTCCTTTGTTTCTCTGCAGCCGCGGGGAGGAGGGTATGGGGGTGGCGGGTGTTGGGGCGTTGGGTCGTTCACTTCCCTTCCCCTCCTCCTCCTTTCATTCCCACTGCTGCAGTTGCCGCTGGGGGGGAGGGTGTGAGGGTGTGGGGGAGCAGGGGGAGTGGTACCGGGGTGGCGGGTGTGAGGCAACAAGCAGCCGTCCCTCCACCTCTCCTCTCTTTCCCCCTTCTCTGCTGCTTCTGCAGTAGTGTGGGGGAGGGGAAGGAGGAGGGTGAGGAGATGGAGGGGGTGACCAGCTAGTGTCAGCCCGCCTGCATTACCTGCTGTTGCTTGCTTTTTATTGTTCGTTGGTGTACCTCTGCACGGTGTGCTCTGCACTTAGCTATTCCTGCATGCAGTTACGGGGGGATGTCCGAATTATATTTATTATAACTGCATGAAGTTCTAGCTGTAGTGTAGTTATTAAGTTTGTAGGTGGTGCACCTCTTCACTTGTTTCCTTGCTATATGTACTTTGAAACTATAGTGAAGAACACATTCTTCCCAATTTCTCTCTTCCAACTCACTCGATACCTCGCCTAGGAGAAACCCGCTCGATACTCTAGTTGGGCCTAGGCTACTAAGCCTAGGCCCTAGCTTAATCTACTCGTTCGTTCACCTTAAACTCTCGACATTCACCACCCGTCCTACGCATCGCTGACCCACACCGCCCCTTCGAAGTTGTTACCGACGCGAGTGACATTGCCATCGGAGCCGTACTATTACAGGACTTCGGCAACGGCCTCCAACCCATCGCCTACGAATCACGCAAGCTACATCCACCTGAGCGAAATTACCCGATACACGACCGCGAAATGCTCGCGATCGTGCATGCCTTCAAAGTATGGCGCTGCTACTTGACCGGGGCAGACGTGACAGTACGGACAGACCATCAATCCCTACAGTACCTTCGTGCACAGCCCCACCTCAACCCACGACAGATTCGGTGGCTCGATTTTCTCGAGTCGAATTTTCACTATACGGTCACCTATAAAAAAGGAGCCTCGAATATCGCTGACGCACTGACCCGCCCCACTGCCCAGATCCATGCGATACTACTCGCCCAGACCAGCCCGCTACTGGCAGGACTATTTACCCACGGATATCAAACAGACCCATTCTTCACAGGAGGAAATTCGCAGCAGTTCGCAGCAGCCAAGGGAGTCTATTACGTAAAAGTTGGAACCGACCGCATCTGGGTACCAGGGTACACACTAGTACGGGAACTACTGTTACAGGAGGCACACGACGGAGTTACCTCGGGACATTTCGGAGTAGAAAAAACACGGCAGCAGCTGCAGCGGTACTACTACTGGCCAGAAATGTTGACCGACGTGCAACGACACGTGGCATCGTGTCCCACTTGCCAGCTCATGAAGTCAAGCAGGAAGCGGCCGGCGGGACAATTGCAACCAATCCCACCTCCAGGGCGTGCTTGGCAGCAAGTGACGATGGACTTCGTCACGGGGTTACCGGCTGGGGTGAGTGGGAATGACGCGATCCTGGTCGTCGTCGATCGACTGACGAAAATGGCACATTTCGCAGCCTGCAAGAAAACAATCACAGCCGAAGAAACAGCCCGACTCTTCATCACCACCGTCGTTCGACTGCACGGGATACCAGCATCGATCATCAGTGATAGGGATACGAAGTTTACCAGTAATTTTTGGCGGAACCTGTGGCAGCAGTTCGGCACGCGACTACAATTCAGTTCATCGTACCACCCCGAAACTGACGGACAGACAGAACGGACAAACCAGACCATGGAGCAGCTCATCCGAGCCACGTGCGACGATCCAAACACGTGGGAGCAGCAGCTGCCACTCATCGAATTCGCCTACAACAATGCTCCATCCGCCACGACCCAACAGTCACCATTTTACTTGAATTACGGACAGGACCCAACAGTACCCATGACTCCAAGCCCCGACAATCCCGTTCCACGCGCACAACAGTTCGCCGAGATCTTGCAAGCAGCACGGACCAGGGCAGCAGAAGCAATCAAAAAATCAAATATCATCGCTAAACGCAACGCCGATCGCCACCGCAGACCCGTCACTTATCAGCCCGATGACCTCGTTTTACTCGACACTCAGAACCTCCGCCTGCCCATCACTCCCAAACTCCGCCCTCGATACTGTGTGCCGTTTCGAATTAGCCACATGATCACACCCGTCACCGCGCACCTCCTCCTCCCTGCTGACTGGTACGTCAGCCTCTCGTTCCACGTCAGCCTGCTTTGCCCTTACGTACCATCCACCAGCCAGCTCCCACGACATCGACCATCCAGCATGGCACGACCGCCAACCGAACCAATCATCACCCCCGACAAAATCTTGAGCCACAGAGTTCGCGACCCTCGAGGAGCCCGAAAAGTCGAGTTCCTGATCCGCTGGAAAGACCGTACACCCACCGAGGACAACTGGGTTCCCCTGGACAGAATTGAAAACCACCCTGTCCTCACCGAGTATCTGCGCAGCCGAAACTTCAAAGACGTCCACGCGCTTTCGTAAGGAGGACCTCCTTAAGAGGGGGGGTAGTGTAAGGAAAATCACTTTTCCTTACTTCGCATCCCTGCTCAACGCGTACATCACTGTAGCACCTCAGTCAGCACCGTTACCACTCGCGATCATCGCATCATTCATCATCCCGCCATTTTCGCACATCGCATCCCGACCTCACGGCTCGGCTGGTAACCCGCGCTCCGGGCCTACGCTTCGACACTTTCCCAACCTCAGTCCCAGGCTCGTCGCGCGACTACCATTACCGTTACCACTGTTTTCGCTATATATTCTTCGCTCATGCCTTCGCTCATTTGTACTCTTGCTTCGATAGTGCAATTCTCGTTCGTTCACTCAATTGCACTCGTAACACCTACTAAGCTGTATCAACAAAGGAACCACATGTATTTTTTACTGGAAAGCGGCTTCTCACAATCGCGGTAATTCTCTCTACTCAGATCCAACACGCACCAGCAGAGAGAACCCAATCATTCCTCGTCGTCACCCTCTTCCCTCGTCTCCTCCCGCTTGCAGGAACATCATCCTCTTGCCGACCAGACCAAAATTCCTGTTTCAAGGCTTCAAAATTTTCCGGATCTGCGATCTCCTCCACGCGTAGCGTATCCTCCGTTCCGTCTCGCGCAATTCTGGTTCCCTGGTCCGTCTCGATTGCTTCAGGAGTATCTATCCTCGATATAGACTCGAAGAGGCGCGAAGATGGCGGTGCGAATGCTGAACGCGAACGCGGAGGTGGTGAGCAAATCGGCGGCGCTCTTCATGAACATCAACGCCGCCAAGGGCCTGCAGGACGTGCTCAAAACCAACCTCGGGCCGCGCGGCACCATCAAGATGTGAGAGAGCCGAGTCGCAGCGGCACCGTCGAGGTGTGAAAAAGCCGCGTCGCGACACCATCGCGATCTGAGAAGCTTGAGTCGCGGTTAAGGAAGGACGGCACGATTTCGATGTGAGACGGCCGAGTAACGGTACACGAGAGACGGCGCGATCAAGGGCGTAAGGATCTTCAATAGTTTACGAGGATTTAGGAAGGCGCGTGAACACCACTCCGGTGCATCGATTTACAAGCAGGAGATTGCGATACAGTATGGCGATCTAGGTGTGAGGAAGAGCCACGTTAGGGGTACAAGCAGGAAGGTGCGATCGCTGTGAGCGGAAGCGCGGAGGTCTGTGGGGATAGTAGGGCAGCTAGTTGCGCGATCCGAGTCTCGGAGCGGCGTGTGACGTGGAGCTCTGATCACGGAGATTGCGGATTCGATACGGAAGTTCTGGCGGGCCTGCAAACTTGTATCTGTGATTGGTTTGTCGTTCTCCCTTAGGCGATTTCGCACCCGGCCAAGTGATCTTCGCGCGTCGTGCCTGACTGAAACGAGCTACTCCTGAATTCGATTACGCGCCATCACAATATCCGAAGGCGGGTGATGGGTTGTCAAGCCACCGCGATTTCGAACGCGACGCTCCTGGTGGTCCCAGTGAGAGGTGAATCCCGCTAGTAACGGCTCGACAGACCTAGTGCAGCGCAAAGATTCCGATTCCCTGACACGCCCCTGGTAAAGCACGAATGGATCTGAGGTTCCGACGAGCCGGCCTGAGTGAGAGTGCTGAAAAGAATCCAGTGCACGCTTGTTGCTTGCGTCAGTGACAGGTTGTTTTTGAAAGCCACAAAAACGACTTGCAACTCCGAGAATGTTGATTAGGATTCAATGCACACTCATCCCTTTGCGTCAACTACTCATACGTTTCGCATTTGCGCGGCATTCCACTGTCCAAATTGAGTGCCCTTGTCATTTGATTCTAACCTTCACCTCGCATCTCCCTCGTCCCCTACGATTTCGCATGCTGGTTTGCTGCTCCTATCTATTGGTTTCTATTGCCCCGTGATTGCTTCACGTCAAAGTTAAGTTCTCCCATTTCCCTTTCATTCCCTGCTCCCCCTCGCTCCCTCTCGGTGATCGTCTCGTCGCGCCAGGCTGGTGGGCGGGGCTGGCGACATCCGCCTCACGAAAGACGGCAACACTCTTCTTCGCGAAATGGTAACCCGCCCCACACATGCTAGCGACGCACTCTCGCCAATTAGCTTTCGTCTTGTGTTTCGCCGCCTCCATTCAGAGCGCGATTCAAGCCATTTGGCCTTTGCGAATGCGTTCTTGCGGCTTTCAAACGCCTGCTTGTGTGCCCCTCCTTCCTACCCTGCTCTCTTTCCTTGACCTTCCACATCAGCACTTTGTACCAAGTGTAACGCCCCGGCACTGCTGTCTTGGCACCACGAAACTCTTAAGGTCCTGAGGGCTTCAGAACTCAAAAGCCTTGAAGCGCCTCAATACCACGTCCGCACCAGTTGCAACGCCCATCACTGCTGTGGTGGTGGCGCGCACTGCCCCGTGGCCCTGTCCATCCCTGCAGACAACCCAAAACCTTACAACCTTAAACCCCTGGAACGTCAAAACCCCAGAATTTTGAAGTTAAACCCTGAATCCCTAAATTCTGGAACTTAGAACCGTGCCACCGTGCCACAGCAACGCCCTCCTCCCCGCCCCCTTGTGCGCCCCTTGCCAAACTCTCCTCAACCCCTCTGTCACTTTTGCACGACAAAATAGCTCTCTCTCCCTCTCCGCCCTGCATCCACCCCCCGTGCCCCGCATCCACCCCCCGTGCCCCGCATCCACCCCCCGTGCCCCGCATCCACCCCCCGTGCCCCGCATCCACCCCCCGTGCCCCGCATCCACCCCCCGTGCCCCGCATCCACCCCCCGTGCCCCGCATCCACCCCCCGTGCCCCGCATCCACCCCCCGTGCCCCGCAACTCCCTGTCCCGGGTCGTGTCCCTTGCCCCAACCCCAGCAAACCCCCCTGGCAGCAAATTTGGAGCCCCACAGCAGTGATGATAGTGCGCACAGCGGTGGCGCAGGACGACATAGCTCCTTCTCCCTCCCCTTAACCCCCTCCCCCCATTCCCCCATTTCCCCCCCTGTCCGCGCCGCCGTTCTCTTCGCTCTCTTCCCTTGCTTCTCTGTACAGCAAATCCAGAACCCAACAGCGGTGATGATAGCGCGCACGGCGGTGGCGCAGGACGACATAGCGGGCGACGGCACCACGTCCACCGTGCTGCTCATCGGCGAGTTGCTCAAACAGTCTGAGCGCTACATCGCTGAAGGTGGGTTAAAGGGTTTAGTGGAGTGTGCTTGTAACGGTAGTGCTTGTAACGGGGATAGATAGAGTGCAGTACAGCAGCAGTGGCACCACGTCCACCATGCTGTTCATCGGCGAGCTGCTCAAGCAGTCCGAGCGCTACATCGCTGAAGGTGGGGCTCAGGGGTTTAAGGGAGAGTGCTTATAACTCGGATAGATAGATGGAGTGCAGTGCAGCAGCAGCGAAGGTGGGATGAAGTTGACGTGGAGGATATTGTAGCAGCCTACTCGTTACAGTCTCTCATTGTTTGGTTGGATTCACTATTATAGCCTGCTCAATTCGTTCACCCGATTGGACTTGCAGCAGTAATTTGAGCAGTGTCGGTCGCAGCATCAACCACCCTCTCCCCTCTCCCCTCTCGCTTACTCCCATCAAGCCTTGAGTCGTGAACCTTCATCTTCCACCCCATCTACCCCGCCCCTTCCCCACTTCCCCCTCTCCCCCACCCCGTCATCCCCCCCATATATCCCTCCCCCTCCCTCCTTGTCCCCCACCCTCTCCCCCCTGCAGGCATGCACCCACGCCTGCTGTGTGACGGGTTTGAGCGAGGCAAGAAGGCGGCGCTGGCGTTCCTGGAGGACTTCAAGACGACCGTCAGCATGGAGGGGGACGCGCCTGATAAGGACACTCTCAAGCTCGTTGCCAGGACCACCCTGCGCACCAAGGTATGGCGCAGTGGTGGTGGAGTGGTGCTTCTTTGTGCGTGCAGCAAGCAAGGTATGCGGGTCAGCATTCCTGGAGGAGCTGAAGTCGACTGTGAGCATGGAGAGGGATGCTCCTGACAAGGAGACTCTCAAGCTCGTTGCCAGAACTACGCTGCGCACCACCAAGGTGTGCTGAGGTGGAGTAAGGTGTCCTACGATGCAGTGAGGTGTTGCGATTGCGTATGCCGTGAAAGTATTTATAGGAACTCTCAAGTTAGCCTCTCACATCATTGTGCAGAGATCAGGTTTGCTTTGCTTCACGGGCACAATTGCTTCACGGGCACAATTGCTTCACGGGCACAATTGCTTCACGGGCACAATTGCTTCACGGGCACAATTGCTTCACGGGCACAATTGCTTCACGGGCACAATTGCTTCACGGGCACAATTGCTTCACGGGCACAATTGCTTCACGGGCACAATTGCTTCACGGGCACAATTGCTTCACGGGCACAATTGCTTCACGGGCACAATTGCTTCACGGGCACAATTGCTTCTCGTGTGTGGCCGCATTGTGCGTTCCCATGCACTTGGTGCGTTCGCCATGTGGTCACTCCATCCATGTGTGCCATCGTTGCCCTACCTTACCTTACCTTACCTTACCTTACCTTACCTTACCTTACCTTACCTTACCTTACCTTAGCCCACATGCCATGTGCTCATGTGCCCATCCTCACTAATTGTGTTCTGTCTTTATGCGTCCTCGTTATTGGCAGGTGCATGAGAAGCTAGCGGATCAGCTCACCGACATTGTCGTCAACGCTGTGAGTGCTGCTGCCACCCTGCCCTGCCCAAACTAGTCGCCCCACCCCTGACATTCCAATGAATCTTCCCACGCTATTGTCCTCAAATTATCCACAGCCCATGTTTGAAATGTGATGTCCGCATTTTATAACCTCATGCCCTGTAACGCAAGTCAGCCTGCAAAAGTATCAAAGTCTAGGCGCCCAAAACTTATTGGCTGCCCGCTCAACAGCCTTCTCTGCAGTCACAACGCCCCCTTCCCCTCCTCTCCCTCCTCTCCCCTCTCCCTCCCCTCCCCTCTCCCTCCCATCCCCCCCCCCCTCTCCCTTCCTCCCGCTCCGCCACACCCCCGTCCTTGCGCCTTGCCCTCCCTCCACTGCCACCAGGTGCTGTGCATCCGCAAGCCAGCAGAGCCCATCGACCTGTTCATGGTGGAGATCATGCACATGCGGCACAAGCTGGACTGTGACTCACGGCTGGTATGTTATGTGCCACCATGCACACATAGTGCCACCATGCACACATAGTGCCACCATGCACACATAGTGCCACCATGCACACATAGTGCCACCATGCACACATAGTGCCACCATGCACACATAGTGCCACCATGCACACATAGTGCCACCATGCACACATAGTGCCACCATGCACACATAGTGCCACCATGCACACATAGTGCCACCATGCACACATAGTGCCACCATGCACACATAGTGCAAGACTGTGTGATGCACATGCAGTGTGCCCATCGACCTGTTCATGCACGCATCATGCACATGCGGCACAAGCTGGACTGTGACTCCCGGCTGGTATGTGGCATCAGACAGCACCATACAGCAGCATGCAGCACCATACAGCAGCATGCAGCACCATGCAGCACCATGCAGCACCATGCAGCACCATACAGCATCATGCAGCACCATACAGCAGCATGCAGCACCATACAGCAGCATGCAGCACCATGCAGCACCATGCAGCACCATGCAGCACCATACAGCATCATGCAGCACCATACAGCAGCATGCAGCACCATACAGCAGCATGCAGCAGCATGCAGCACCATGCAGCATCATGCAGCACCATGCAGCACCATACAGCATCATGCAGCACCATGCAGCACCATGCAGCACCATGCAGCATCATGCAGCACCATGCAGCACCATGCAGCATCATGCAGCACCATGCACATGTGCTACAAGCTCGACGGCGCGCGCCTGGTATGTGGCATGAGGATGCGTGGGTTGTGCGCACACTTGACTGATCGACCATGGACCTGCGTGCCATGGTGGAGATCATGCACATGTGCCACAAGCTCGACTGCGACTCCAGGCTGGTATGTGGTATCATACAGCACCATACATGCACCATGAATGCATCATGCACATGTGCCACAAGCTCGACTGCGACTCATGCCTGGTATGCTAATATGCATTGGTTGTGCACACATGATACCAAGAGCGTGTGATAGTGGAGATCATGCACATGAGGCACAAGCTTGATCGTGACTCATGACTGGTATGTATGTGCCATCATGCACACATGACGCAAGGGCGTATGATTCATCATGCACATGAGGCACAACCTTAACTGCTACTCACTCCTGGCATGAGCATTGTGCGGACATGATGCTATGAGCGTGTGATGCACATGCAGTGTGGCAAGTGCATGTGACTTGATGCACATGAGGCACAATCTGGACTGTGACTCACGCCTTGTGACTCACGCCTTGTGACTCACGCCTTGTGACTCACGCCTTGTGACTCACGCCTTGTGACTCACGCCTTGTGACTCACACCTTGTGACTCACACCTTGTGACTCACGCCTTGTGACTCACGCCTTGTGACTCACGCCTTGTGACTCACACCTTGTGACTCACGCCTTGTGACTCACGCCTTGTGACTCACACCTTGTGACTCACACCTTGTGACTCACGCCTTGTGACTCACACCTTGTGACTCACACCTTGTGACTCACGCCTTGTGACTCACGCCTTGTGACTCACGCCTTGTGACTCACACCTTGTGACTCACGCCTTGTGACTCACGCCTTGTGACTCACACCTTGTGACTCACGCCTTGTGACTCACGCCTTGTGACTCACACCTTGTGACTCACACCTGGTATGTGGCGCCATGCATGCAGTGTGTGTGGCCGACATGAAGAGACGATTTTTCATTCATTCATACAAGCTCCCTGTCTTGCTGACTCACATGACATGTGTGCGTGCGGCACGGCAGGTGGAGGGGCTGGTGCTGGACCATGGGGCGAGGCACCCCGACATGAAGAAGCGAGTGGAGAACTGCTACATCCTCACGTGCAACGTGTCGCTGGAGTACGAGAAGAGGTATGCCATTGCCTCCCACCCCAGTGCTCTCGGGCTCTTGTACCATGGCGTGCACCACAGGGGCTGGGTGCACAGGGGCTGGGTGCACAGGGGCTGGGTGCACAGGGGCTGGGTGCACATGGGCTGGGTGCACAGGGGCTGGGTGCACAGGGGCTGGGTGCACAGGGGCTGGGTGCACATGGGCTGGGTGCACATGGGCTGGGTGCACATGGGCTGGGTGCACCATGCACATCTGTCTCCACACGCGCTCCGCCCGCTCCCACATGTGCTCCCTCCCAGCGAGGTAATTGGGGGTTCTCGTGCCACGGCAGGGCGCAGAGGGGCTGCTGTTGTAATCGTGTGTGCGTGTCCCATGTGCCCCCCCAGCGAGGTGAAGTCGGGGTTCTTCCATCATGATGCGGAGCAGCGCCACAGGATGGTGGTGCCGGGGAGGGTAGCTCACATTGGGCACATGTGTTGCGTCATGCGCAATATGCCTATCCTATCCTGTGTGCCCCTCTCCCCCATGTGGCCCCCTCCCCCCAGCGAGGTGAACTCGGGGTTCTTCCACCACGATGCGGAGCAGCGTGAGAAGATGGTGGTGCCATGTCACCAGCACATGCGTTGCCCCATCCCCAGTACTCCTATCCTGTGTGCCCCTCTTGGACATTGCCTCCCCCCAGCGAGGTGAACTCGGGGTTCTTCTACCATGATGCGGAGCAGCGCGAGAAGATGGTGGTGGCGGAGAGGAAGTTCGTGGACGAGCGCGTGAGGAAGATCATCGCGCTCAAACGCAAGGTGGGTGTGTGGGTGCATGGGAAGGGGCGGAGGTCCGGAGGAGAGTGAAGGATGGGAGGGGGAAGGTGCGTGCATGGGCTGAGTTGAGCAGTATGAGGAGATGGTGGTGGGGGAGAGGAGGTTTATGGAGCGCGTGCGGAAGATCATCGAGCTCAAGCGCAAGGTGGGTGGCTCATGGGGTGAATGCGTGATTCTTTTTCTGAAGAGGAAGGTGGGTGGGGAAGAGGAGGAGAGTGAAGGAGCACCACATGCAGGCTGCCTTGCCTCGATCTTGTGTCACCCCAGGAGAGGCTCCGATGCCCTGTCTCCTGTGCGGGACACTCTGGAAGGTACTATATGGATGGAGGCCCTGCCGCATTGTCTCTCTCTCTCTTCGTGCACACGCCCCATTTGAATGCTATTTTGAGGCGCCCCTTAAGCGTGCCCCATGTGCGCGCACCCACATATGGATGTTACTGTGCTGTGTGGGTTGTCACCGGCAGGTGTGCGGCGAGGGCGAGGGCGAGAAGGGCTTCGTGGTGGTGAACCAAAAGGGCATCGACCCCATCTCCCTCGACATGCTCGCCCGAGAAGGGGTGCGTGCCATGCCATCCCATGCCGTGCCATGCCATGCCATGCCGTGCCATGCCATCCCACGCCGTGCCATGCCATACCATCCCATGCCATTCCATCCTATGCCATACCATGCCGTGCCATGCCATGCCATGCCGTGCCATGCCATGCCATGCCATGCCATACCATGCTGTGCCATGCCATGCCATGCCATGCCATGCCATGCCATGCCATACCATGCCATGCCATACCATGCCGTGCCATGCCATACCATGCTCTGCCATGCCACATCACACAGCACCATACCACATTCTACCATGCCATGCCACACCAGAAGGGCATCGACCCCATCTCGCTGGACATGCTCGCCCGAGAAGGGGTGCGTCCCTGCATGCCATTCCATGCCATACCATGCTGTGTTGCTCCAAGCCATGCCATCCCATACCACACCATGCCTGGGTGTGCCGTCCTGTCACGTGCTGTACCATCTCATGCCACGTCATCTCCCCCATGTGGTGCGGGGGCATGTCATCTCCCCAGTGCGGTACTCACCCACCCGCTTGCATGCGTCCTTGGTGCCTCCATCCCCGTGTCAGATTGTAGCCCTGCGCCGAGCCAAGAAGCGCAACATGGAGCGCCTGGTGCTGGCATGTGGGGGCGAGGCGGTGAACAGTGTGGAGGAGCTGCAGGAGAGCGACCTGGGGTGGGCGGGGGTGGTGTATGAGCACGTGCTGGGCGAGGAGAAGTACACCTTCGTTGAGCAAGTCAAGCACCCGCACTCGTGCACCATTCTCATCAAAGGTGGGTAGTTGGGAAGGGGGGAGGGGATGCAAAGGGCGCGGCATGGGTGGGGTGGGCGGGAGGGTGACGCTGGGTGGGCAGGGGGGTGTAGGAGCATGTGCGGGGCGGCGAGAAGTACACGTTTGGGGAGCACGTGAAGCACCCGCACTCGTGCACCGTCCTCCTCAAAGGTGGGTAGAGGGGTGGGGGACAGGGGGGCGGGCGATGGGGGGCGGGGCAAAGGGTTCTCTTCCAAAGGGGTGCTCTTGAGCATGAGCAGGGTGGTGTATGAGCATGAGCAGGGTGGTGTATGAGCATGAGCAGGGTGGTGTATGAGCATGAGCAGGGTGGTGTATGAGCATGAGCAGGGTGGTGTATGAGCATGAGCAGGGTGGTGTATGAGCATGAGCAGGGTGGTGTATGAGCATGAGCAGGGTGGTGTATGAGCATGAGCAGGGTGGTGTATGAGCATGAGCAGGGTGGTGTATGAGCATGTGCAGGGTGGTGTATGAGCATGAGCAGGGTGGTGTATGAGCATGAGCAGGGTGGTGTATGAGCATGAGCAGGGTGGTGTATGAGCATGAGCAGGGTGGTGTATGAGCATGTGCAGGGTGGTGTATGAGCATGTGCAGGGTGGTGTATGAGCATGTGCTGGGTGAAGAAAAGGACACTTTCGTTGAGCAAGTCAAGCACCCGCACTCCTGCATGAGGCGATGCGTGTTATGAGAGCCTTAGCTCTCTGACCCAATCGTCTCAATTCTCACACCTGCACCACCCACCCGTTTCCCCACTCTCCCCTTCCTCCCATCTCCCTTATCCCCACGCTCCCCTTTTCTCCCTCTCCCTTTCCGCCACTCTCCCCCTCCCCCGCTCTGCCCTTGGCACCATGCTCTCCCCCTGTGGAGGGCAGGGCCCAACGACCACACGATAGCGCAGATCAAGGATGCGGTCAGGGACGGGCTCAGGTCCGTCAAGAACACCATTGAGGATGGCGCCGTCGTGCTGGTGGGTGTTGGGGGGTGCCGCTGGGTGCTGGTGTTTGCTGGTGGTCGCTGGGGGTGCTGGTACGTGCTGGGGGGTGCTGGAGGCTTCTGGGTGCCGCTGGGCCCTGGAAGGTGCTGGAGGGTGCTGGAGGGTGCTGGAGGGTGCTGGAGGGTGCTGGAGGGTGCTGGAGGGTGCTGGAGGGTGCTGGAGGGTGCTGGAGGGTGCTGGAGGGTGCTGCCATGGGCCGCGCTTCTTCATGCGTCGTGCCTCGTGCTGCTCGTGGTGGGATCGTGGTGGGATCGTGGTGGGATCGTGGTGGGATCGTGCCTCGTGCTGCTCGTGGTGGGATCGTGGCTCCACTCTCTCCTCCCAGCTGTCTCCTTCCACACACTCCCCGCCGCACTTCCCCCTCACTCACGCCTTTCTCACTCACGTGAAGAGCAAAGTCGCGTCATGTGAGGAAGGTGCCAGAAGCTCATCTGAACTGGCACTGGCTGGCGTAAGGTGCCAGCATTGCTTTCCCTTTCCAAGCCTAACTGCATCCCCTCGCTCCCTCCCGCTGCTCATCCTCCCCCCCCCCCTACTCGACCCACCGTGTGGCACGGGCAGGGCGGAGGGGCGTTTGAGCTGGCAGCGCGGAGGCACTTGTTGGAGACCGTCAAGCCCGCCGTGCAGGGGGTGAGTGGGGGGGGGGGGGAGAGGGGTGGGGAAGGGGCAACTGAGTTGGGGGGGAGGGTGAGAGGCAGGGAGACTGTTTGAGCTGGCAGCGCGGAGGCACCTGTTGGAGACTGTGAACCTGCCGTGCAGGGGGTGAGTGGCACAGGAGGGGGGAGGGTTAGTGTTACAGCGGGGAGGGGGGAGTGGGTAGAGCGGGTGAGCAGCGTGGTGGGGAGGGGGGAGGGATTGAGTGGCACAGTGGAGGGTGCAGGGCACGGTAAGGAAGGGTGAAGGGCACGTGTTGCAGGATTAAGTGGCTCTTTGGCCAGGAACAAGGGCAGGTAGAGTGGCAGCGTGTGAGAAATCCTCTGCTATTTTTTGACAGAGCGCTGCACATTGGTGAGTGTTGAGTCAACACATAGGTCACGTGGTCCTCTTCCCCCTCCCCCGCTGTGAATCACAGAGGGCACACCTGGGCGTGGAGGCGCATGCGGAGGCGCTGCTGGTGGCGCCCAAGACATGGCCTAACTGGTTATCCCTCCTCCCACCTCCCCCCTCCTCATCCCCCTCCCTATGAGCCACACAGAGGGCGCAGCTGGGAGTGGAGGCATTCGCAGAGGCGCTGATGGTGGTGCCCAAGGTGCTGGCGGAGAACTCCGGGCTGGACACACAGGACGTCATCATTCAGCTGCAGGTGAGGCGCACATGCATGCGGGTGCAGGTGGGGCATGCAGGCATGCAGGTGCAGGTGACATGAGATGAGATGAGCATGATGCGCTGATGCTGGCTGAGAACTCAGGGCTGGACGCACAGGACGTCATCATCCAGCTGTAGGTCAGCTGCGCACATGCATGCTGATGTCACCTGCCACATGACGTGACATGACATGTGCATGGAAGCATGCTGGCATGGCGTCAGCGTGCAGCTGTGTTGCGAGCAACTCGCCCCACGGTGCACCTCATGTGACCAGTCGTTCTCCCGGTGACTGTGATGATCTGTACGCGTTGGGGCTTTTGTGCCCTCGTCTCGCTGGCCCCCCTCCACTTCCCTGCTCGCACTCCTCGCCTCAATCGGCCAAGCCTCTGCATTGCCTGCCCATGGGTGACATTCGCTGTTTCGACATGGCATGGGATGGTTTCGTATGCTATGGTGTGCGATGATGTTTCTTGGCATGGCATGGCACATGATTTTATGGCATGGCATGGCATGGCGTGGAGCAGTCGGAGCATGCCAAGGGCAACGTGGTGGGGCTGAATGTCACCACGGGGGAGCCCATGGACCCGCATGTCGAAGGCGTGTTCGACAACTACAGCGTCAAGCAGCAACTCATCAACTCTGCGTATGGCTTCCCGCCTCACATCCGTCATAATAATATCACATATCACGCCTTCGCATTGTGGCATGTTCTGCATTGTTCTGTGATGTGATTTCCACTCGGGTACCTCTAGTATTTTTTTGCCTACCCATGCCCTCCCACCCAGTCATGTCTGTTTATGTCTTGGCCACTTTATTGCACAACTTCCCTGTCAGTTAATGCATGTACCGGCCAACATACGTGAGCCATTGTTGATGATTGAGCCATTCTACCATGCGCTCACTTGGTCACCTTGCTCTCCTGCAAAATGTTGATCTTCTCTACAGGCCCATCATCGCGTCTCAGCTACTATTGGTGGACGAAGTGCTTCGGGCAGGCAGAAACATGCGCAAGGGCTAGTGCTTCATGCAAATTCACATCACTCTTTGTTGCATAGCTTTCCTTTTTTCCTTAACACCATTGGACACTAAAAAATTTAGCACATTTTGTATGGATTAGCCATGTGAAAATAATCGCAAGACTAGATTGAAACACAGGAAGAGTTGCGAACAGGGTTTCGTTACGCAGGAATTTTCTTGTAACGTCTATCACTATGACAAGCATTTTAGTAGCACACTGGAACAAAATATATTCTGTGGTTGAATTGCACTACATTGCATCTGTCTGTTGTTGCCGTATCTCATCTTTGCGCATCATAACCCCCCCTGCATCCCCGCTTTACAACGAGTCACCCTTGGGCTTGTCCTTCTTTTCCTTCTTGGCTGTGCGCTTCCACTCGCTGGGTTGGTCAAGGACCTCGCCTGTCTTGAGCAGGTAGCGCACCTTGCTGCCGTCCTCCAGCACCTTGTGGCCCACTCGGCTCGTCACCTTCTGCTGCTTCGAGTACAGCATCACGTTGGAGCTGTGAATCGGCGCCTCCATCTGCACCACACCGTGCATTCCGGCAAGCATGCATTTATGTGACCATGGGAGCAGGTACTGGGAGTTGAGCAACAGAGCAGGACCAGAGGAAGGTCACAACTCACAGGGTGAGCGGCACTAAGGCCACTAATTCTAACTCTGAACCTCTTCAACAGAAGTGAAGAAATCTCAACACCTATGGTGATGCGCACCGTCACTGTGCTGCACCCACCCACCAATGTCCCATCACTGGCTTGCTGCCACTGCATGCAATGCAGCACGCACCTGGATGATTTGGCCGGCCTCGCCCTCTGCCTTGCCCTTGACGTGCTTGGTCTTGATGTTGATGTCCCGGCACAGCACGCTCGAGTTGTGGTTGATCACGCGCACCACCTCTGTCACCTTGCCCTTGTCCCTGCCCGCTATCACCTGCCACCCCCCACGCCGGGGGGAGCAGGAAGGGGAGGAAGGGCAAGATGAGGTGGGTAAATGTGGTGGAGAGGATGATGGACTGTACAGCGGAATGCTAGGCTTGAAAAAGCGAGTCAGGTGAGAAAAGGGGGCGTTCGGGGGAAGGAAGGGGAGGGTGGGGGGGGGGGCGAGGGGGAGTGTGGGAGTGGGGAGGGTTGTGGGGAATAGGGCTATGGGGGGGGTCCGGAAGCACAAGCTTAGACAGGTTGCATGGGATGGTCAATGAGCATGATGGTGGGTGCACACGCGTGGATTATGGATGAAAAAACCACACACACACACACACACACACACACGCACGCACGCACGTACGCACGCACACACACACACACACACACACACGCACGCACGCACGCACACACGCACGCACACACACACACACACACACACACACACACACACACACACACACACACACACACACACACACATGCGTACCACTCACCATTCTACCCTCCCACCCACCCTTCTCCTTCCCTCAACACACACATAGATGCCAGGCTATTATCCATCGGACATGGAGGATGCTGCTCAAGGAGCAAGCAGCATAGTGTACGGTCGCACCTGCACGGTGTCGCCCACTCGCACGCACCTGCACGGTGTCGCCCACTCGCACGCACCTGCACGGTGTCTCCCACGTGCACGTGCAGCTTGTGGCGCACGGGCAGGCTGTTGTCCTTCACCTCCTTGCGCTCCCACCGCTTGATCTGCGCGCATTCCGCGCGCCGGAGAGAGCGGAACGAGCACGGGGGGTGAGAGGGAGACGACAGGAAGGTGAACGGGAGGGATAACATGCGAACGGGAGGGATAGCATGCGAACGGGAGGGATAGCATGCGAACGGGAGGGATAGCATGCGAACGGGAGGGAGAGCATGCGAACGGGAGGGATAGCATGCGAAGCGAACGCAAACAAGGAAAATTGCACCAAGGGAGGGACCAGTGGGAGAAAGGAGTTCGTAACGTCGTCGGGACGGGAAAGAATGAAAGGGGGGACCGGGGAGGCAGTCGACAGCAGGACGAAGCCAGAAAGGCCCCGAGGGATGTGCCGTTTGGACCGAGGAGTACGCAGGGGTGAGATATGGAGGGAAGTAGGATAAAAGGAGGAGATAAACTTACAGCCATGCGAATGACTGATGGCGCCGCATGAGGCTGGGCAGTCATCTGCAACGACCACGAGAACGCGGACGACATGCACGGAGGGGATATGCCAGCACGAGGAAGAGGGGGTGGGGGGGTCCGACGTATGGTAACGTGAGTGGTTTAGGTTGCAAGACGCGACGACGAAACATAAAGGCGGAGATGGATCTCCTGCAAATCGGCGCTTCGAGGATCAATGCGTGACCTAAAACCCTGCGTCTGAAATGCAGGCACATAGGAGAAGAGCAAAGATGCGCGCCCTAGGCTCGATTCTAGGTAAGCGATACGAAACTACGCAGCGTAGGCAGGGGGAGCGAGCCGCCAGGAGAACGCAGAACTGGAACAGGGTGAGCGAGACGGCAGCACGTACGGGCTTGGCTGCTAGCGAAGCGCCGAAGAGGCTGCTTTTGGCTGAAGATGTAGTCTGCACGGCCGCCATGCTGCTGCTCAGACCAGCGAGAGCCGCCATGGTTTGCGAGGTTACTTAGTGGGCTAGGGCTACAGGATGATAAGGATGGCTGTCAACCCGTGGTGAGGGTGGGAAAGCAGGAGGGAGTGGAGTAGCGGGATGATGGAAGCTTTTTTTCCGAAAAGGGGCCTTGTCTTTCCGAAAACGCCCCATTGCCTTCATCGACTTTGTCCAGGCAAAAATGCAGAGGCCAACCTCGAAATGCAACACCAACTTTTGCGAGAGGTGCTGTCGACGAAACGCTCGCGATAAGCTAGGTTACCCGCCGGACGACCGACGACGCCCTCTTGTCGCACAACCGGTTACGACGGGACGATCGTCATGTAGTCGCCAAGCCAGTCGCAAGCAAACTCTCTACAGAGTGCTTCGCGGTCAAACAACGGTGGCTATTGGGTTGGGTACGCATGTTTCTAGACAAGGATAATAATGGATGAGATAGCAAACACAAATGACACAGTTGCACATACATGTTTCAAATGATTTTGGGTCACGCAATGTATTACTTAAATTTCCACGCATATATGCAAATGAAGTAATACCGTCACCCCCCGGATATACCTCCATCGGGGGCTATAATATAACATGTTTTTTTGAGGGGATGGGCTTATAATATAGTAAATTTATAAGCGGCGGCGTTTATAATTTGTCAAAATTGAATTTTGTTTTTAAATATACCAAATCGAAGCATTCTCAAAGGCGGATTCACCTGGGTCGAGAACGTTCGAAACTGTGCATGCATTGCGCGTGAAACGGCCAACAAGGCGTGGCTTCACGCCTTCCACGCCTTGTTGGCCAGGCCAGGTTCATCGAACGTGAACCTGGCCCATGCCAGTGCACACGTACCTCGCATCACAGCGGCCCAATCAGGGTTGCATGCGATCGTGGGCACGTCGTGGTTCAGCCACGGTGTGCCCATCAACAGCAAAATTCCCCGCCACCGAGGCAAGGAGCTGCCCAGCTCAGCTCCTCTGCGGGGAATCTTGACTGGGGCCACCGTTTTCCCGCAGAGGAGGCCGGGCCGCGAAAATGAAGGGGTCTCGGGCGAGGGCTTCATACAACCCTCATTCTCGACTTTTGCCTTCAGTTTCTTTGTTCGTTTGGCCTGCCGTGGCCATGGCGGGCCTTCCAAGCACGCATTTCTTGTTCCGCCGCCATCCTGCTGCCAGAGAAAACACCCGCCGAGACACCTGTGACTACTCTCAATGGCAGTCGCGCCCTGCGCCCGTCCCTCCGTGTCAACCAGTAGCTCCTCCCGTTCCTCCCACTCCTCCAACTCCTCCTGCACCTCCCGCTCCCCCGGCGCCTCCGGTTCCTCCAGCTCCTCCGTCCCCTCCTGACCCGCCTGTGTTTGGTGCTCCACGTCAGGGGGTCCTGCAGCTTCTCCTCCCTCCTGGCTACTCGGCGTTTGACGCGTACCTGTCCGAGCCCGACCGCGCCGGTGGCGCATCGTCTTCCTTCGCACCGTCGCCACGCTGGGGAGCCCCGACTGATTGCCCGTTGGACGAATCCGTGACTGGTGCGGAGGATGACGTGGAGTTTTGGGCTGCCGACGGTCTTCCAGAGCACCTGCCTATTCCCACCTTCCCCCCCCCCAATAAGAAACGGCCCCACCCTTCTCGCGAGAATCGCGATGCCCGTCCTCCCTCCCCCAGGCACAAGCCTTCAAGTCACAAGCGGCACTCTTACACATCGCAGGAGAAACTGCAGTGGATTCTCAAGCTTGAGTCCGGGCACATGAGCGTGCGGCAGATGTCTCGCCAAACCGGCATCTCCCGAAGGTCACTCGCAGAATGGAAGACCCGGAAGGCTGACCTGGAGGGCGCGCATGCTGCTCGCAAGCGTCTTCATGGGCGCGGAAGGAGCTCGTGGTATCGCGACATGGAAGCTGAAGTCTACAGGAGGTTTCTTGTCCACCGTAAAAAATGTCTCGCGGTCTCGATCGCTCGCCTACAGAAGTGGTCGCATGAGGTGATGAAAGAATTGCACCCACAGGTAAAGTGGTCCGGCTCGCAGCGGTGGACTGAGCGGTTTCGCCGCCGTTGGAATCTGACAACCCGAGCGAAGACCAGGGTCGGCCAGAAGCTTGCTGCCAGTGAGTTTGTGGGAAATGGTTGCAGTTTAATGTGTACTGCTTTGTGTTGTTTGTCTCTTTATGTTTCACGGTTGAATTTTAACGCGTCATTAATACTGTCTTCTCTCTTTCCCTCCCACCCGTACTCCCAGACTGCGAGACTGACGTCAGGAATTTCTGGAAGTTCGTGCGTCACACCCGCCGCCAATACAAGATTGACCCGTAGTGGATAATAAACGCGGACCAGACACCACTGTGGCTCGAGATGCCTGCCGAACGCACAGTCGAGGAGGTGGGTCTGCGCTCTGTGCCTATCCGCAGCGGCGGCTATCAGAAGGAGCGAGTTACGGT